ACACGAACACCGAACATCTGGAACTCAAATCGGATACACCATTCCGTGAACACAAACAGAAAGGACATTTGCTCCCTGGAGCCAGAAAGGATCATTCATTTTCATGCTCACAGGAACTCCCGAACGGAGACCGGCCCAGCCTATTTAACCCTGGAACTATTTGGGGCTTCAACCTCATGTCCGGTTGGTCAAAACTTTACCCAGATGGTGATTCCGTTCCACCAAACATATCCAAGCACTATTTGGAAAACTTGGGGGCTCGGATCCGGGCTATCTGGGGATATAAGACTTGTGGGGGTCCCTGGGGAAATTTTATGTGTTTAGGGTATTTTCTGTCTTGGTCCCTGTAACTGAGAGATAATTGAGTTACCGGTCTTTGACTCAATTATCTTCCAGACACAGGGACACCGGGAAGGAGTTTGTAATGAAATGTATGGAGACCCCATGCTTGGGGGTCTGTGTATAAATTGAGTGTACCTTGCCCTGCATAAACCAGTATACTCCCAGAATTAAGTCTTGGCTAATATCTGGGAGGAAAAGCTATAATACACTACACAGCTATAATCCCTGAGACGGTGCTGACGGAGATCCAGAGAAGGGGCAAGAGCATCTTTGGCTGCAAGATTCGTGTCCCTACTACAGTGTCTGCCAAAAGGCACTCTTCAAATATTGGGATGTCTGCTTTGTATGCATTATCAGTGTCTGTTAGATGTTTGGTTTGCATACACTGTCCATGTCTGCCTGTGTTAGATATTTGGTCTGTCCTTGTCTGCCTGTGTTAGATGTCTGGTTTGTACACACTGTTCATGTCTGCCTGTGTTAGATGTTTGAGTTGTACATATTGTCACTGTCTGTTTTTGGGTAGGTGTTTTGGTTTGCATATATTGTCTGCTTTAGATGTTTTGTGTTGCATTGCTGTCTATTAGATATTTGGGTTTTGCATTTTTTATTTACTAGCTGAAACCTTCTTTGATTTGGCTACACTTACAAAATTTTCAACTTGTTCTGTTTTGTCTTCTCTTGCAGAGTGAACTTATTACTTTGATTAAAGGCTCTATTTTAAACCTGACTTCAACCTCACCTGAAGGACTTCACAGCATAGTTCCAAAGTATGGGGATCTATCTAATTTGAGCAGATCTATGTTCTATGCAATTGGTAAGAAAGGCCAAATTCATAAAATGTATATACATACACACGTACAAACAAGAAAAAGAGCAGGCACAAAGAACAACTTTGTATAATGTCATATATATATATATATATTTATATACTTTATTACTTTTTACAAAAATAAAAAAATATGTATTTGTGTGTAGTGTTGGTGTTTTGAATGGAGTTGTTTGGATGCACTGTTGCCATTAGAATGCAGGGATGTGTTTGTATGTAGTGTGTGCAGGGAAGTTTTAGCCGCGAGGCAAACAAGGCATTTGCCTTGGGCGGCATTTTCCAGGGGGCGGCAAAACGCCACCCCCAAATGCCCAGGGCAAATGCCTTGTTATACAAAAAAGTGAAGAAAGAACAACCCCGTGATAAATCAGGTTGTTCCTCTTCAAACCACCCCAAACAGATCAACGTCTAAGGAAAATAAATAAATTTTATTATTAAGAATAGGACCAAAGAAACCTAAGAACTCATATATGACAGTGGACTAAAAAGTTCTAGTGGAAACAGCATGTATCAATCACTGTTATATGTAGAAAATAGAACTCAAACAAAGTTAAAGCTACATATGATACTGTGAACACACATTGAACCTAACAGAAGGTCAGAGAGTGCAGATTGAATAAACTTGTATGAAAAGAGTCAATTAATGAGGAGGACCATATAAATAAAGAGGAAGTTCAAATGAACCTTCAAGCTGAAAAAGTCAGTCTCATAATAACTCCATATTATACTATGTGGTCGCCCCGGTGTGTATAAGCACTCAGTAAACTATTAATAAAAGTCCACTGAAAATTAATGAGAAAAAGGTATATTCAAACAAAAACAAATAAATCAAATTACCTAAGGACTCACAGATATAACACAATACTGTCTATAAACTGCAAGGTTCCAGTATAAGTGGAAGTGGTCAAAGCACTATCCCATATAATAGTCCAAACTCAAAAAGAGTTAGTGCTGAGTATGATTGTATACATGAAACCTGCAGAAAGTCAGAAAGTGCAATTTAGTAGACTTGCATTGGAAATCGAAAGGATAGGGAAGATATTATAAGCAGAGAGGGATATAAAATCAGTATTACTTTACTGAGAGGGTAGTGGATGCATGGAATAGCCTTCCAGCTGAAGTGGTAGAGGTTAACACAGTAAAGGAGTTTAAGCATGCGTGGGATAGGCATAAGGCTATCCTAACTATAAGATAAGACTAGGGACTAATGAAAGTATTTAGAAAATTGGGCAGACTAGATGGGCCGAATGGTTCTTATCTGCCGTCACATTCTATGTTTCTATGTTTCTATGTTTCTATGTTAAAAAGTGGAGATGGATATAGATATAAATATAAAGTAAGCCTAAATAGGACAGATAAAACTAAATAAATCCACCTCACAGTAAATCCCTACTAGTTAGTCGTCCCGGTGTGTAAAACCGATCAACCCCAAAGTCACTATATCATAAGAGTACACTAAGGTATAACAAGTGTTAAGAATACATCGGAAAAAACAAGCCCAACGCGCGTTTCGGCGGGTAAACCGCCTTTCTCAAGAGCAAAATATAATGTATCAAAATAGTTCACCCCCCCCCCCCCTTTTCCCATCTATATAGCCGTTACTGACCGCCCATAAGGTAGTAATCAGCTGGCAACGTCCAATCTCCTTGCTTGCCGGGATTAATCAATGCGCATGTCCCGCCAAGGTGTCCGCGCATGCGCACCAAACTTAGAAAAAAGGGGGAGAGACTCTCTCATAGTCAGAAGTGCGCATGTCAAAATATCAGTGGTGAAGCAGCGCACAAAAGTGAACCGCAAACTCCCCACATACTACGTACACATAAATGAGCAGGCTGTCACAGAAGGTTCCCAATAGATCCTAATATAGGCTAAATGCCCTTATATGAAGGTAACAAAAAAAGGGAAACACATTATAATCATCTGATCGAACCTGTGTATTTAGATACAGAACCTCCATAGCATTCATATGTCTATTGGAGGAAGAATATCCCTACACATACAGGAGATTCATAAGGATAGGAAGGAGGAGGGGGAAATGAAAAAGAAACTAGATCATAATAGTCTTAAAAAATAAAACAAAATATATATATTATAGACAAAAAAGTGATAAGAGTAAAGAATTTCCTTTAAAAAAGCAATTCAAGAAAGTATTTCTTTCAAAATATTTTTACACAAAGCTGGTGATAATGAGAACAGGATGGGAGGATAAGAGGGATATATATAGCCCAATAAGTCATATATTTATATGAAGGGGGCAAAAGAAAAGCCCTCATTCAGACCCAAAGGTTGGAGGGTTTTAAGTTCATATATCCATCTAGACTCCCTCTGTCTAAGTGTTTTATCAAAATCCCCCCGTCTAGGGGTCCTTTTTACTAATTCCAATCCACAGAATTTAAGATTACTAGAGTCCCCATGATGGAATTCTTTAAGGTGTCTAGATATAGGTGTCTCAAGACGGTTCCTAGGAGATCTTACATGTTCCATAATTCTATCTTTAAATGCTCTAAAGGTTTTCCCTACATATTTCTGTCCACAGGTACATTGGAGCAGATATACAAGGCCTTTAGTATTACAGTTAAAGAAGCTTTTAACTTTGAAGGAAACCAGTTCCTGGCTGTCACTGACAGTCTTGGAGTTCTTAAGAATAAACTTACAGGCTACACATTTACCACAGCCATATGTGCCCGTTGGTGGAGTCCCCAACCAGGTGGCACGTGGTTGTGTTCTAATAGAAAAATGGCTGGGTACCAGTAAGTCGCGAATGTTCCGTCCCCTCCTAGCTGTAATATTGGCATGTGGGCTTAGAGCCCCCTTAAGATGTACATCATTCAATAGTATGGGCCAGAATCTCTCAAGTGACTTCCGTACTTCTGGCCACCCCCTATCGAATGTTGCAATCATACGGATGATTCCAGTATCCTTCTTAGTCGTTTTATCAGTATGGTCACATAGTAGTTCACCCCTCTCTGTTTGTAATGCCTTCTTATAGGCTCTTTTTAAACAGCGGTTCGGATAACCCTTCTCCTTAAAATGTTGTCGAAGTTGTCTTTTTAGTCCACTGTCATATATGAGTTCTTAGGTTTCTTTGGTCCTATTCTTAATAATAAAATTTATTTATTTTCCTTAGACGTTGATCTGTTTGGGGTGGTTTGAAGAGGAACAACCTGATTTATCACGGGGTTGTTCTTTCTTCACTTTTTTGTATATTTTGTGCTTTATGCAGGGTTATGCCCGTATTCAGGGCCGGCCTTAGGGGTGTGCGAGCTGTGCGACCGCACAGGGCGCCATGGAACAGGGGGCGCCCTGTGGCCGACACAGCTCACTCATGGCCGGAGTGCAGGGGAGCTAAAAGAGGTACCTGGCTGGAGGATTAATTATTCTCCACCCGGGTCTATTTAAAAAAAATAAAAAATAAAAAAATCGCGGCAGAGGGGGCGGGGTTTACCGAGCGGCGGAGGCGGGGCTTATCGAGAGGCGGAGACGGGGCTAATACCTCCCGAAGCCCCTGCTGTACAGGAAGAGGGAAAGATGCTTCCCATCAGCCAACTGCATCCACTGGAAAGAGGTAAGTGTGTGTGTGTGACTGTTTGCCTGTTTGTGTGACTGTCTGTCTGTGTGTGTGTGTGACTGTCTGTCTGTGTGACTGCCTGTCCTTGTGTGTGTGTGTGACTGTCTGTCTCTGTGTGTGTGTGTGACTGTCTCTGTGTGTGACTGCCTGCCTGTGTGTGTGTGTGTGTGACTGTCTGTCTCTGTGTGTGTGTGTGACTGTCTCTGTGTGTGACTGCCTGCCTGTGTGTGACAGTCTGTCTGTGTGTGTGTGTGACTGTCTGTCTGTGTGACTGCCTGTCCTTGTGTGTGTGTGTGTGTGTGACTGTCTGTCTCTGTGTGTGTGTGTGACTGCCTGCCTGTGTGTGACTGTCTGTGTGTGTGACTGTCTGTCTGTGTGACTGCCCATGTATGTGACTGCCTGTGTGTGTGACTGTCTGTCTGTGTGACTGCCCGTGTGTGTGACTGCCTGTGTGTGTGAGACTGTCTGTCTGTGTGACTGTCTGTGTGTGTGACTGCCTGTGTGTGTGACTGCCTGTATGTGACTGCCTGCCTGTGTGTGTCTGTCTGTAACTATCTGTCTGTGTGTGACTGCCTGCCTGTGTGTGTGACTTTCTATCTGTGACTGCCTGCCTGTGTGTGTATAACTGTCTATGTGTGTGTTACTGTGTGTCTGTCTGTGTGTGTGACTGCCTATGTGACCGTCTGTCTGTGTGTGTCGCTGTAGCTGTGCCATTGTTTGTGCCTGTGCCTGTATGTGTGACTGCCTTTAACTGAGTGTGTGTGTACATGCCTGTAACCGAGTTTAAATTTCCCCCACCCCTTCCTGTCAAGGCCGCACTTTGACTGACAGACGCTCACTCACTGACAGACGCACACTCACTGACGACACATACACACTCACTGACGACACATACACACTCACTGACTGACACATACACACTCACTGACTGACACATATACACTCACTGACCAACACACACATTCACTCACAGACACACACAATTACACACTTACAGACACACACAATTACACACTTACAGACACACACACACACACACACACACACACATTCACTTCAAAATAAACACTCACAGACACACACACAGACATTTCCACTATCACTCACAAACTAATATTTTTTACATTTATTTTAAATCCACCCAGCCTCCCTGGGGAAGCTGGAGTGGATTTCTTACCAGCAGTCCAGTGTGGCTGCTGGGCAGGCAGGCAGGGGGCGCACAGGCTGAGTAAGCAGCGCTTAGTGATGCCGGGAGCCGGACTGACGTCATATTCTGGCTCCCGGCTTCATTAAGCGGCGCAGAGGAAGCTGAGCAGGAAGAGCTCAGGTGAGTATGCTCCTTCGCTGCCCGCTGCCAGCCTTGGGGGGGCTCAAAAGTGGCCAGCCGGTCAGCTCTTGAGCCCCCCAGGATGCGAGGCAAGCAAGGGATCTGCCTGGGGGTTTTGGAGGGATGCTTTTTTTTGCCGCCCCCTGCAAAGTGGCGCCCAAGGCAGATGCCTTGTTTGCCTCGTGATACACACGTCCCCGGTGCCTGTGTGTGTTACTGTATTCAGGCAACTTGGTGAGAGGTGGGGGGGGCGCCGTGAAGACTTTTTGCACAGGGCGCCTAATTGCCTAAGGCCGGCCCTGCCCGTATTGCCACCCTTATAACCCGTTTTTCTCTGTACTCCCTATTTGGATTTTCTATCTAGGGAATACTTCTATTTATTACAAATGCCTTGTTAGCCTTGTGGCTAACAGACATGCTGGGCGGGCTGGTTGCAGGGCGGGCTGCTGGGCGGCTGACGAGGGAGCACTTCCCCTGAGCTCTCTGCTCTGCTCCCTTGCGCGCCGCCCTCAGAGTGAGGCTGGGAGCCGGAAGATGACGTCATATGTTCATTCTTGCTTGAATGCTAGGATGCATGCAGTGCCACAAACACAGATACACACAGATAGCCACACAGATAGCCACACAGATATAGAGACATAGGTACACATACAAAATGATGCACACCGACACACAGGTACACATACATATAAACCAACAACTAAATGTAACCATTAACATAGTTTTAGCTATTGTAGCGGGATCTGGGTAACCCGGCGGGCTACTTCCTTTCAGTAATAATAGGTCAGACCCATTTTCCCCAGTAACTGGATGGTACACAATTTCAGGGTACAATCTTTGACAATCTTTATTTGGGCACACAGCTTTTTATGCACAGACCCCAGCAAGGGGTCTCCATCCACCACAACACAATTTCATGCAGGAAGGGGCTGGGTGATAGTATTTCCAGAGCGGGAGATGGTTATCTAACAGGACACAGGGACACACATGAGTACACATTACATACAGGGGGGTGAACTTTGGGGCTCGGCACCCCGGAACAGAAAGAGAGTACAGGGTTAAAACTTATACGGATGAATAGCCCCAAAGCGGGGCAATCGGATGTACAGAGCCTGAGATATCAGTGTCGAAAGTCTGGGGCTCAAAGCTCTGTACATCCCCAAAATTATTTTCTTGGTGTTGCTTGGTTTAGTCGGGCAAATTCAAACTTCGCGCCCAAACCAAGCAACAACCAATCAGCTGAAAGGGCGTGATCCAAATTGCGCCAATCAGCATTCAGGGGAGGAAGGAGTGTCGCCACCCAATCCAAAGAAAGGGCGCGAAACTCGGCTGCACCAATCGGTGCTTGGTGAGGGGAGGGCTTTTGCTACCCAATCAGAAGAAAGGGCGTGGAACCCTGTTTGAACAAGTGCTCCTTTTCGGATTAGTCGCCCGCTCCCTGTGGCAACCAATCAGTGCTTTACTTGTGCTGACCAACCAGGAGATTGGCGCAAACCATGAATGGGTGCTCCTTCTCCCATTGGTCGACACTGACTTCCATGCGGCCAGCGGCAACCCTGCAGCCATGAGACCGACTCACAGCCCCAGGGATTCCCTGCCGGCACGCATCCGTCTCTCTGGTGTATACCTGAGGGTAGGAGAGAGCGTTCGCCTGGGCAGCCACAGGCCTAGCCTTGTAGCTCCCAGGTGTGAGAGTGACAAGTGATTGTACCTCCGTTAGGAGCAGGTAGGATGAACCCTGACACAGGGATCAAAGACAGTGTACGCAGGCCGGTTCCGGAGCCGAATGCTCCCCCTGGTGGGATTTTACAGTAAAAATTAAGGAAAGGGGAACATTAGAAAGGGGAACACACATTCTAGGAGCGCACATCCACAAATAGAAAAAGGGCAATTCTCAGTTAGGCAGCGGTGCCGCCACAGCTATAGTTCTAGCTTCCCTCCCCCCTCCTTTGTATGTGCCTGCTCCTGCCTCATCTCTTAGCAAATTGGGAGGAAGTTTTCTGAACTCACTTACTCCCAGCAGGCTTTGTGGGGAGGGGAACTAACATTAGTTAACACTTACAGACACACACACACACACACACACATTCACTTCAAAATAAACACTCACAGACACACACACAGACATTTCCACTATCACTCACAAACTAATATTTTTTACATTTATTTTAAATCCACCCAGCCTCCCTGGGGAAGCTGGAGTGGATTTCTTACCAGCAGTCCAGTGTGGCTGCTGGGCAGGCAGGCAGGGGGCGCACAGGCTGAGTAAGCAGCGCTTAGTGATGCCGGGAGCCGGACTGACGTCATATTCTGGCTCCCGGCTTCATTAAGCGGCGCAGAGGAAGCTGAGCAGGAAGAGCTCAGGTGAGTATGCTCCTTCGCTGCCCGCTGCCAGCCTTGGGGGGGCTCAAAAGTGGCCACGTCCCCGGTGCCTGTGTGTGTTACTGTATTCAGGCAACTTGGTGAGAGGTGGGGGGGGCGCCGTGAAGACTTTTTGCACAGGGCGCCTAATTGCCTAAGGCCGGCCCTGCCCGTATTGCCACCCTTATAACCCGTTTTTCTCTGTACTCCCTATTTGGATTTTCTATCTAGGGAATACTTCTATTTATTACAAATGCCTTGTTAGCCTTGTGGCTAACAGACATGCTGGGCGGGCTGGTTGCAGGGCGGGCTGCTGGGCGGCTGACGAGGGAGCACTTCCCCTGAGCTCTCTGCTCTGCTCCCTTGCGCGCCGCCCTCAGAGTGAGGCTGGGAGCCGGAAGATGACGTCATATGTTCATTCTTGCTTGAATGCTAGGATGCATGCAGTGCCACAAACACAGATACACACAGATAGCCACACAGATAGCCACACAGATATAGAGACATAGGTACACATACAAAATGATGCACACCGACACACAGGTACACATACATATAAACCAACAACTAAATGTAACCATTAACATAGTTTTAGCTATTGTAGCGGGATCTGGGTAACCCGGCGGGCTACTTCCTTTCAGTAATAATAGGTCAGACCCATTTTCCCCAGTAACTGGATGGTACACAATTTCAGGGTACAATCTTTGACAATCTTTATTTGGGCACACAGCTTTTTATGCACAGACCCCAGCAAGGGGTCTCCATCCACCACAACACAATTTCATGCAGGAAGGGGCTGGGTGATAGTATTTCCAGAGCGGGAGATGGTTATCTAACAGGACACAGGGACACACATGAGTACACATTACATACAGGGGGGTGAACTTTGGGGCTCGGCACCCCGGAACAGAAAGAGAGTACAGGGTTAAAACTTATACGGATGAATAGCCCCAAAGCGGGGCAATCGGATGTACAGAGCCTGAGATATCAGTGTCGAAAGTCTGGGGCTCAAAGCTCTGTACATCCCCAAAATTATTTTCTTGGTGTTGCTTGGTTTAGTCGGGCAAATTCAAACTTCGCGCCCAAACCAAGCAACAACCAATCAGCTGAAAGGGCGTGATCCAAATTGCGCCAATCAGCATTCAGGGGAGGAAGGAGTGTCGCCACCCAATCCAAAGAAAGGGCGCGAAACTCGGCTGCACCAATCGGTGCTTGGTGAGGGGAGGGCTTTTGCTACCCAATCAGAAGAAAGGGCGTGGAACCCTGTTTGAACAAGTGCTCCTTTTCGGATTAGTCGCCCGCTCCCTGTGGCAACCAATCAGTGCTTTACTTGTGCTGACCAACCAGGAGATTGGCGCAAACCATGAATGGGTGCTCCTTCTCCCATTGGTCGACACTGACTTCCATGCGGCCAGCGGCAACCCTGCAGCCATGAGACCGACTCACAGCCCCAGGGATTCCCTGCCGGCACGCATCCGTCTCTCTGGTGTATACCTGAGGGTAGGAGAGAGCGTTCGCCTGGGCAGCCACAGGCCTAGCCTTGTAGCTCCCAGGTGTGAGAGTGACAAGTGATTGTACCTCCGTTAGGAGCAGGTAGGATGAACCCTGACACAGGGATCAAAGACAGTGTACGCAGGCCGGTTCCGGAGCCGAATGCTCCCCCTGGTGGGATTTTACAGTAAAAATTAAGGAAAGGGGAACATTAGAAAGGGGAACACACATTCTAGGAGCGCACATCCACAAATAGAAAAAGGGCAATTCTCAGTTAGGCAGCGGTGCCGCCACAGCTATAGTTCTAGCTTCCCT